GACTGCAACGATGAGATGGAAGTTACGGTAAAGTGACAAAGACAGAAATATCGTTGCGTACAGCGTTGCCACTAGTTGTAATAAATATCTAACACTATACAGAAAATAATGAATTTTAACTGATCAGTAATCAGGAAATGTATAAGTATTACTCATTACAAGCTCATTACTGATTTTTGTCATAAATAATACCTTTTAATCGTACTAGTATTGTGTATTATCTATAATTTGCCACAACCTACAACTCTACTGCTTACTATATTTTGATTCTGCTATAAACTGGTAACGTAAAATTTAGATATGACAACGCGCTTTACTCTCAATCATTATTGGTTTTACTATAAGTAAAAAATGAAAAATCCTTCTTGGGAAAAAATTTGATTCGCCCTCTAACTCTTGACATTTTCGAAATATTGAAACGATATTTTCAAAATACATGTCTCAATTGAAAAACTGAAAAAACTTGACATTGAAAGAAATTAATTCTCATCTTCAAACTCATACTTTCTTCTTGTCAATGTCCGAACATTTTTCATAAATTTTTTTTTCAAATATCCGGGTTATTGATTTTCAAATACTTACCTAAGTATTCCAACTAGTAAATGAAAAATTTGTTACGTACCAGTCTATCACTATTATAAGCCGTTATTTATCTGTCCAACGACTGTCACACATAAACTTCGCGATATATGGAAGTTTTTTTATCAATAGATGAAATGAAAATTTGGCAAAAAAACCCACAGCTCAATAAATTATAGGCCCTGAAGAAGCTTCCCACTAGAAGCGAAAGCTTGGCAAACTAAAGCAGAGAATTCGACCCTCCACCGCACAATAATTCTCTCCAAAGTTTTCCAACAAATATCTATTCAATGGGGAAAAATCAATTGTTCGAGATGATTCTGATTTGTTTGATTAATTCGGTGCTACTGGTTATGGTGGATGTTATTGTTCAAGGAAATCTTCAAATAACTGTATTGGCATTGAAGACTTACATCTGAAGTCAATAGCCTTGTAACTACAAAATAAAATATTATTTATGTATGAGTATATAAATTGATAAATCAAATCTCTCCTATAATGGCAATGATTATCGGAATACAGCAACTTTCGAAACATATCATTCCGTTATTCTGCAAAGTTCATAACAGAATATTGTCATGTTTATATGTTTGTATCGCGTCTTTTCGTATTCACCAGGTATATTATTTACGACGATTAAGTACAAATAAACGCAGACGAATCACGATCATTGAAAATCCCAGTCAAATAATCCTTCATAATATCCATTGTTATCATTCCTGTTTTACAAAACTGCCGTATTTATCACTCAGTATCAGCTCAACTGTTGGTCGGTACGATTCGCCATGAGTTTGTTTGCTTGGATATTATCACATAAGCTGCTAACACTACTAATTTTAGCGACTGCTGCTTTTGGAATTTCGACCATAGCGCTTGGAGTGGAAAATGCCAATTTAAGAACCGAGGTGGAAGATTTGAAAACTACCACTTCTTTACCGAGTACCAGTACACCAGACAAAATGTCCAAATACAGGCTGCCAACTGCAGTGAGACCCTTGGTGTACGACTTGTTTTTATATCCGAATTTAACTACAGGCCTCTTCACAGGTAAGAAAACTTCAGTGAGATTTTTCAAAAAATTCATCATTTTTATCTGAACTACTGAAAGACTTTGATTGCTTTAAAAATACCCTGTTTTGATACAGACGGTGGTCTCTAAATGAAGCAGCATTAATAATCAAATTGTATTCTGACTAGTCTACAAAAGTTATCAAATCATATGCATATTTTGAATATGTTTACCATTGTGTCGTGCTAATTCAAACATTTCAAACAAGTACCCCAAGAAAAAATAGCCGATTTCATATATTTTTAGATTTGACAACGGGCATAATAGTTATGTTTCAGTGATAAAATGTTTCATTTATTCAAACCATTTCTGAATGCTAATTGAGTATATGATAAATTGTTGACTTATTTGCATTGTTTACTCAATTATAAGAAACTTCGAAAATAATTAATTTTCATCGAATTTTTCTGCACATAAACAGGTTCTGCCAAAATTTTATAATTCAGAATAGGTTTAAAAACGGTAAAGTTCAAAATAACTGATGATATATTAGGTTGTTTCAAAAATTTCGAATATTTTTATGAGTTTACTTCAAACTGTAATATCTCAGTGGATACTCATTCATTTTAATCGAAATAAGCGCCATTTGAATCAGTGCCCTTTTGCCAACGTAACACAAGTCGGTTGATTTCGTCAGCATCAAAATTGTGTGCTCGGGATTCGATGAAGTGGACGAAGGCGGTTTTTACCGTGTCCTGATTGGGAAGGTTCTGCCAGCGAGAAAGTTAACGGAGTGATTACAAATATGTTAATCGGTTTGCGAGAGGTCTGAAGAGTATGATAGATGAGGCAGAACTTCACGCTGAATTCGTTTGACTTTTGGACGGTGATTTGTGAAACGTACAGAGCAGGATCGGATCTCTTCTGTTGACCAGTGCCGCCTGCTGCTGATACAATTTTCGCTATAAGACTTTGGTGTGATGATTTGGCCCGTTTGCAGAAAGTTGCAATGAATCATTTCAGCCGCTAACCACCATACAGTAACCATGGTCTTTTTTGGTGGGTTTTCACCTTTGGGAAGTGCCTGGGTGGCTTATTGGTGTCCGACCAGTGTTCTGAACATCTCCTGTTGTTGTAGAGGATCCACTTTTCGTCACACGTGACGGTCCAATCTAAAAAAGGATAATCTTGGTTGCGCAAAAGCAAAGAAGAACGGCCTTCGAAACGTAACGATTTCTTTCAATCGTTCAGATCGTGAGGCACCCACTTTTCAACCTTTTTGATTTTACCAATACGATCTGAACCACCAAAAACCGCAGTTCTTCCGCCCAGTTCTGCCGCCATCCCACGCACCTTTGGTGGTAGATCGGTTTCAAATCCTCGTCTTGGATTTCTGTAGGTCTATCACTTTTGGGCTTATTATTGAGGCTAAAATCTCCTGAATGAAATATCACAATCCAACGCCGAACAGTGCGTTCAGTAGGTTAGGTTAGGTTAGGTCTAAGGTGAGTGGGTCTATTCGACCCTCCACCGTAACACGCAAGGGTTCATTGTGGCTGACACCTATTCACACTCGACCAAATACACCCATCTTCTTAACGAAGCCGATTAGTTTGTATGATGAGTGATCTTTCAGGTCAGAACTTCCAACGCCACTTGACTGTCTGAGAATATTTTTATTGACTTGTGTATGAGGTTGTATTCTTTCAATATCTCCGCACACAATTCAATAGCGTAAATTTCCGCTTGAAATACAGTCGCATAGGTTCCTAGGCAGGTTGATATCTCTGTCCTGTCCGTGCTGTTGAAACCACCAAAAGAAATTGGTAATCATCGACCTGTAGTGCTCGTCATTGACAGTGATGGCCTGGCCAACGTTGTTCTTAAAGAAATATGGATCGATGATGCCGCTAGTCCAAAATCTACAACTTACAATGAAGTTTTTGGGATACGTTGGAAGCTCTTAGCTCTCATGTAGATTGCTATCGTCCCAAATTCGACAATTTTGTTTGTTCACGTACCTACCTATTCATCCAGAAATAGGCCTCATCGCTGAAGACGATTCTTCGATGAAAATTAGGGTCACTTGCCAACTGCTTATAGCCTATTAAGCGAACATACGTCGTTGTCTATGGTCCTTTACCTTCAGTTCCTGAGTCGGTAGAATTTTGTACATGTGCAGGCCTAGGTCACGACGCAAAATTTGCCAAGTTGTGGTCTTGCGAACGACGCGAAATCGATTGTCTCGGATTCTCCTGCACACTCTCACAGACATCGGCGATGTTTTCAGCAGCTTGCGCGTTTCGACGACGTACGGGTGTTGGTCGATCGCTTAGTGAACCAGTGAACTCAAATTCATCCACCACATTGCGAATTGTCCTCACGGAATGACGATTAGATTAGGTTAGGTTCACAGTGAGTGGGTCTATTCGACCCTCCACCGCAACCCGCAAGGGTTTATTGTGGCTCACACCCATTCACACTAGACCAAATAATCTCAGCTTCTTAATGAAGCCGATTAGTTTGTATGGTGAGAGGTCTTTCAGGTCAGATGGTAAGAGTACGGCTATGCCGAACTCTGAAACAACTGTTTGGTATCAAGCTTCGAAGGGTGAATAAATCCCTTGGAGTGAGCCAATCGTGGAAGATTTTGCCAGAACTCCATAAGTCTTCTTGTCATCCAGGTGTTCAATCTTTATTTGGCAAAGCCTAAAGCGATGTCAATGACAGGTTCTGGTCCGATGAAGCTGCTTGCCGCACCCTCCTTTGCAAGGGAGTTAGCAGTCTCATTTTCTTCCAGACCAGTATTGCCAGGAATCCAGACCAAAGACAATCTGTTACATCTTCCTATCGAGGAGAGTCGTTTTTGGCAATTTGCTACCAGTTTAGACGTTGCTCGGTAGGATCCAATAGCTTCCAACGCTGCTTAACTGTCCGAGAATAGCGAAAATTTCCGCTTGAAATACAGTCGCATAGGTTTCTAGTCAGGTTGATATCTGTCCTGGGTCTGCGACTGAAAACACCTGCACCAGATCCGGTAAAGTGTTTTCGATCCATCTGTGAACCAACAACTATTTGCTCTTAATATTCCTTCTCCCGGAGGATCCAGTCCTCTCTACTCGGGAACAGTACTTTATAAGGCAGTTCGTACTTGACATTTTGAGGCATAAAGTCAGAGGTCATTTCCAGAATGCTGTGACTTCCAGTGTCAACCAACAGTCTGTTGCAATCTGCATTGAATTGATTTGTTCAATTGGCAATGTGCACAAGTCTATATGCAGTCCATCTGGCCTCTCTCTCCAGAAAAAATATAGAGGGGGTAGATTTAGAAGGATCTCCATGGCCGCTTGCGGTGTGGTACTGATGGCACCATTGATGGCCAGACAAGTCTGTCTCTGTAAGCCAAAGAGCTTCTCCTGGGCTGTTTTCTGTAGAGCCTTCGGCCACCAAGCAATTCCACCTTAAGTGATCATTGGTCTGACAATCATCACATAAATCAAATGAATTTGTTTGCGACCTAAACCCCAAATTTCACAACAAATCCTTCGAAATGTCCATAGGGAGAGTCTGGCTTTATGTGAAACTTTTTCCAAGTGAGCTTTCCATTTGAGTTTTATATCAAGGACAATGCCAAGATATTTCACTCCTCTCCCGTTCCAAATGGAATGACCTCACCATTGAGGGAAAGTGGCTTTAGATCGTCCAATTTTCTCCTCCTGGTGAAGAGGATTATCACAGTTTTGCTGCAGTTTTGAAATAGACAAAACTTTTGAAACAATCTAATACTTTTCAGTACGTTCATAAATCATTTCTGGCTGTTCTTTTGAAAAACAAACCCCGAAAATAACTTTGATAGACTTATCTCCGGCCGTGAAAGTTTTCACTCTTTTATTATTAAAATAAACTTTTGTTTACTTTATGCGGGGAAAAACGTTCAATAATTTTCTGAACATTTCTGCGCCTCAAGGTTGAAAATAACTGATAATATATCCAATTATTAAAGAATTAACTGATAATGAATAAGTAGATGTTGTTAATTGGTTTTTGCTACGTATTCTATACAAGTACAGGTATTTCTTGTTCAATGACAAACACCAATATGACTATTAAACTATTTCACAGTTTCCTAGGTTTCGACATGAAACTTTCAGAAAAATTAAATTTTGAAAGTAAATTTTCTACAATAATAGCACTTGAAAATATTTTATAAGTAAATGCTTATTCCAACAAAAACTTTCATCATATTTCAAAAATATGAACTTTTCATTATACTTCCAAGGAATTTAAATTCTCGACAACTCTCTTTCATGAGGTTTTTTGTTGAATGAAAATCTGAGGCGTTGGACAAAAAACTTCACTGAAAAATATGTTGTTAAAAATTATTGAAGATATACTTCTTTTGGCGCGTTAGGAAAAAATGATGAGAGTAAAAACCGTCACGAAAAACCAACACCCCAAAGTTAGCTTCTTCTTCTTCAATTTATATGGTCGTTGCTTGTCAGTCGAGCGCATTCGGCCAGACTCCTCCTGTCCTTAGTGAGCAGAAGCTCCGTCCGGAAGCGAAGCTGTCTTGCTCGAAGCAATACCGCCACCTTTAGTTTTCTCATCCATTGTTTTTTATAAAAATACTTCATTTTTTCACTAGGGAGTCGCCAGTCCTCTCAATATGACTTTCAAAAATTACATCTATTATCGCACCAACCACCTCGTCGAATCCGTCGACATCCAGCCTGGTTACCGGCGTAGGGAGCCGCCAGTCCTCTCAAAATGTCTTTCACTTCAATGTTTATTCAAACTTGACTTTATTTTTTCGAAAAACACCTCACTTTTGGGCTCCACTTCGACCACGACATCCACGTTCCATCTTTGAGGATTGCACAACCGTCCCGTCCTCTATCGCGATCGTAGAGGAAGTCCCTGACATTAGCTAGTCAACGTTTCAGTTTGAAAAAAAAAAATACCAACAGAGTAAAAGTAAATGCAACTACGTATGTTTGCATGAGAACTGACAACTGTATTCACGATATTCATTCAAGTG